CTTTCACTGCTCCTCGATTGCAGAACTCTGTTTTATGTAGGAGAAACGGTAAAATGTGGAGAGATCCAATTTTTGCAAAATAAATATGAAAACTGCATAGAACAGAAAATGTTATATTTGACAGGGAAGGGATTTCAAGAAAAGTTAAACCTTAATTTTGGTTCAAACTTGTCAACCTGTTTTAACTCTGTTAGAGATAATGAATCCTCCTCATGGAATTAGCTTTTAGATTTCTGGTAATTATTTCTTATCTACAAGAGAAATACAGAGATGGTATCACTAATTGTTTGCTCAGTGAAATTATAACATTGCTGTAAAAATCTTTGGTAGCAGTACCTTAGAAAAAGAAATAGGTAAATAATTCTCCATAAAACAAAGATTTCTCCCTTCACTTGTCAATTGGTATGAATTCTTTCAATTTTCAGAGATGGGATATAGGTTTTATTCTCCATCATAAGTGAGAGAAAGTGAGTGTTTGAAAAATACTCTTAGATTTTAGTTAAGAATTAAAACACATAATGGATTCCTGCAATTGTTTTCCCATTATTCAATTCCCTCTCTTTCTCACTGTCTTGCTCTTTTGCTCTCTTTCACTGAGCCTCTTGGTTTCTACATCTTTCTGCTCCTGAAACTTCTTTCTCATCACTGTGTGGTATATGTGACCTGTCTTCTGTAATATCTCTCCCTTCTTTCTCCTTTCTCTCTGCCTCCCCTTGTAGCTCTTCCTTAACTGGCTACAGTTCATGGTCAAAATATACTGAAATTTTTAAAAAATGAATTTTATATAGCATTCAACACCAAAATAAAACAGATAAAATGTGTTCTAACCAAAAAGAAAAAAAAGTCCTATTAAGGCACTAAATAGAAACTAGAGGCAGGCAGGGTTCAGTTTAGCAGAACTAAAGAACTTTCTAAGTGGTTAAACTCTCTGAAAATTAGAGCAGCCTTCCTTCCTCAGAAGATAGTGAGGTTTTCTTTACCCAACGGGGCTAAAGCAAGATTGTCAGGAAAATGGCAACATCATGAGGGGGGAAGGGATTGTGCAGAAATTTAGATTTATATAGCTCCTTTATCCTCTCAGTCTAGAATTCTAATGCTTAGGGGTGTGTGTGTGTGTTTGTGTGTGTGTGTGTGTGTGTGTTTTAGAGTTTGATTCTTAAATATGTGGTAAATTGTCTGTTGGTCTAGAAAATAGACACTTTAAGCTCCAGTCCACGCAACAAAGCAATTACAATGATCTGTGTCTTTGGGGTTGGATTATCAGAGATTAGAGAGAAACCACAAGGTGGTTTTGACCAAGTCCTTTAATGGTAACTAATAATGAAATCTTTTTCCAGGATATACATAGAACCATTTCACATGTAACATAAAGAAAATGGGGGAAAAAAAAGAAAAGAAAACTAAGTTACATTTCCTCATTTGAATTTAATGATTGTGCCTGGGAATTGCATACTGTCCTTGTTCTACTACTAATTGACTGCATGAGAGTGGGTGCAACTCTTCCTCTCTCTGAGACTCCATTTTTGCCCCAAGGAAAGTTAGGAAATTAAAAACAAATCATCTCTGTGGTCCTTCTGTGGGCAGAGCCACATATTAAGAACCCTTGTGCAAACCAGCTCAGAATCTTCAAATTTCTAGTGTTCTAGCCTTACTTTCTATTTGTCACATCTGTTTCCGTCCACCCATTCCTCTTTTCTTGCCTCTTGGATTAATCAATTTTTTAAAAAGTATTCTATTGGCTTTTTAGCTATTCCTCTTGCTAAGGGATTAAATATGCATTCTTTCTTTATCTTATTCTACTTAGTGTAAATTATAAGAAACTTGCTGTTGTAGAATTCTAGACCCCCTTTCTTTATGCTGTGTTGCCAAATAGTTTACATCCCCATACTTATCAATCCCACAATATAATGTTAAAATTCTTGCTTTAAATAGTCAGTTGTACTTAGTCCGATGTTCTGATGTTGACTCTCCATGTTTCCCCTGCCCAATTATGGTCAGTCCCAGGCAGTGGCTAGGCCTCCTAAACCTTAGTTCTCAATGGACTCTCTCTAAGAGGGTCAGAAAACTTTTGCTCTAAAGGGACAGTCAATATTGTGAAGCTTTGTGAGATGGTCTCAGCTGAAACTACTCAATGCTGCCCATGTAGTGTGAAAGCAGCCAGAGACAGGTTCTAAATAAGTGGGTGTGACTGTGTTCCCATAAAACCCGATTTATGAAAACAGACAGCAGACTACATTTGGCCTGCAGACCAGTTTGCTGACCTGTGGTCTATACCATTGGTGGTAAATAGTCAAGGTCCATATTTCTTATCTGTAATTCTGAAATCCTTAGAGCTCTAAAAATTATATTTTTATAACTCACTTGGCAGCAAAACATGACCCAATCTGAACTTATCTGGTGAGAGAACTTGACCCACCCTGTAATGAGGCTCTGTATCGCCTATTTATCACACTTTGTGTGACTACTTGTATGTTTTACTACAGAGATATTATGTTGATTAAAGAGTGCTGCTCCACAGCATGCTGGTGGCATTAGAGGACTGTGTTTCCTTTTCTAAATGGAAAAATTCTCAATTCTGTAACATACCTGGTCCCAAGGCTTTCCTTAAAGAATTGTGGACTGATAGTAGTCTGATTCAATGTGAGGTTTAATAGCAGTGGTGAAAATGAACTCTCTAACAGTCTATGAGTGTGTTTGCCAGAGTAGGTTGCTACCTGTCCCTATTTCCTCTTGTTTAAGAACTTCCTTCTGTGCCTCTGGCATTTTAGGGGACTCTCTAGTCACCCAGGCTCCTCTGGTTCATTGCCCAGTTTGGAATGTCTTTGACCCAGCAGAACCGTAACTTTTACTCCACAGAAATAACAATAGAATGCCTACCAATACATTTCTCAAAAAATAGTGGTTTTTTAATTTTGGTCCTGGTTGATTAATTGGCAGGCTGGTTGGATAAGGTTAGGGGTGAAGTCCAGAGATTGAATTAGAATCTTGGTTGTCATGTATTAGACTGTATCTTTGGGGAAGTCACTTAATCTTTGTAAGCCTCAGTTTGTGAGCCTTCAGCTGGAAAAGAGAATGCTAACATTACCTCATAGGATTAAAATGTAGAGGACTTAGCTAAGTGTTTGGCTCAGAACACATGTTCAATAAATATTTATTTAGTTATTTTGTAAATAAAACTGGATTAATTGGAAAAATAAAAATGCTGCAAGCCACCTTCCTGAGTCTGGTTCATGTCCTCAGAGGCCAATTCAGATTATTTATTAATGGGTTACTGTAACACCCAACCTTTAAAATATGTGGAAAGTCTCTGAACAATTGTGAATTCTTGGAAATTGTTTGCAAAATTTTATGTATATTGTCCTTTAGAGAATATCTATAAATTTCATCTGAGTCTTACAGAGATTCATGTTCTAAAAAAGATTAAGAAACAATGTCCTAAATGCACCCCATTACAGCATATTTGGAGGATTATGAATGAGACAGTGATGTTCTGTCTGATCCATTAAAGTTTCCCATTGGAATAGAGCTGAGACATTTCTTCACTATCTGGTTTTGTGGAACTGGCTTGGGTGCATGACATGAAAACTCTTTGAATATTTGGAGTGTAGTCATCAAAGTTTATGAGCAAGTCCCAAGCTGATGTCAGTGCTATAGGTATGCTCACAAGAATAATAAATCCATGCGCAGGTATCAGGGACTAGGTTTTGACTTGAGCCTATAGACTGAGCTCATTGGTTGACCTGCCCTGTGAAGCCTTATGACAAATGTGAAATTTTCTGTGGCCCTGATAAAATGCTTGTATTCCCTGTTCCCCATGGGTATACTGAACAGCCAAAAAGAAGAAAACTATATATGAAAAGTCAGCTTATCTTGGCAAAGAGCCTGCTTGGAGCAATATTCTTCAAGTCTCTAGAAGAGAGAAAATATATATCTTTCCTCTTGGCTGCATGACTTGGAACTAGCTGTCACTTAGCAGTTCAGCTTGTGACATGGTAACAGCTGCCTCAGGGACCAGCTCCAGTTCACCTCAGTAACACGGAGACAAGCTAGAACCAAGGTGGCTGGTACATAGGTGGGCACATGGGGTGTGAGTTATGGACCAAGTCATGAAACCTTCTCTTGGCAGGATCCGCTGCAAACAGAGTTTAAGGACACCCTCTCCAAGCATGAATATCAAGAATAAACTGTTGCTGGAAGAATACTTATGATTTTACAGTGGGAGACCACAGGACCCTGATTGTGCCGATGTAAGGCAGAGTGAAGAGCCAGCCCTGCTACAGCTCAGAATATCTTTTCAGTGACAATATCCCTCATGGATTAAAAGTCTCATGTGTAGAGTCACTTAAGAATTTAGAGTATGAGATAGATGTGAATTCTGGTAAGTTTTAGTTACCTAATGACTTCCCTGGAGGCTGATCCGTAATAATGAGTAAGTTCATATTTCTCAGGCTCCTCTATAAATAATGAAAGGTGGAATTTCAGAGTAAAAGGCAATTTAGTCCTTGAGAAAGGAGAAAGTCCTCCAGCTAAAGGATAATAAAATAAAATGACTTATAACTTACTATAGGTACAGCAAACAACGTAACAGCACCTTAGCCCGATTTCTGAATTACCAGAAATGGAATTGTCCCGGTTTCAGAATAGTTCTATGGCCCATGAAGAGATCAGAGTACAGAGAATAACATGGAAAACATGTACAGAGAAATCACAGGGCTGGTTTTTGGGTTTCTACCATAATGTGAGGCTCCTGTCTCTAAGGGTGGGTCTCTGAAATGGGATGATCCCAAGAGCCTGTTTTGGAAGTCAGCATCAATATGTGTACCTGGCCACAGAAAATAAGGCTCCCCTTCTCTATCTTTAATCCCTTTGTGATGTCGGAGCTGGCCAAATATGACCAGTAAGCCTAGATAACCACAAAGGAGATAAAACAGGCACATCAGGATCAACGGATGACTGTTCCAGTGCTATTGTCTAAAGGAGAAAATATTGTCTAATAGTACCTTCCTGGAGAGTCTCCATTCTCATCAAATAGGATCATATCTCCAGAAACTCCAGTAAAATTGGTTTTCATCAGGGAATCCAAAAGTTTCCGTCCGTCAATTGGCTTCATTGCATCACAAAGGCCCGCATAGCCTGGACAGAGGGACATCTGCATGTTGTGGAGTCCATAGGCCATGGAATAGATTGCATTAATCACAAATCCCATTTTGGAATCTTGAACGTGATGTGTTCTCAGAGTCAGAGAACCTGTTGAGAAACAAATTATCGATTAACTATGAGATTTAATTCTACTATAGCTCTCTCCATGGATTCTGAATAATTGGAGAATTCACAGGAGCAATTTATCAGAGTTAGAACCAGAGTAAATGCAAAGATACAGGTGCCAGCATAGTATGCCTACTAATTGTCTTCTATTTCCAGGTTTTTCTCCCCTGAAAACCTTGAAGAACGACCTGAATTCCCAACAGTAATAAGGTTCACTTCCTCTATTACCAATCTCTGGAGATGGATGCAGGAGAGCACTGTATTTCTGTACCAGAAAATTTATCTTAAGGACAAGTTAATCTCCTTAGTACTCAACTATGATAATATAACTCCTTGGAGTAGAAATCCACGACAAATCTCCAGTTTCCAAACTATTTAAGTCCTAGCTTAGCAAACTAGATTTTCTACCATCTTGCCTCAACTTACCTGTTTGGATTTATCTTGCACCACTTCCAACCTCAAAGCATATGCTCTCCATTTGGAAATTCTAAAATATAATCTAATATAATCTAACATTTATGCTCCATTAATTAATTAATTAATTAATTATTGGAGTTTGAGCATACAAAAAGCTGTGTGGTTGATGATCTAGGGACAAAACAAAGGTGAACTGGGCACGGATTCTGCACTTAAGAAGAAACTTGTTCAATAATAGAGGTAAATTATGTAACTATAGTGGAAGTTCAAAGGTGATATATCTGTGACACATGTGGAGGTAAAATCTATGGAGGCCCAAAGAGGGAGAGATCCTTTCCAATGGAAGGCTCTTGGGAAAGTTTTGTTGAAGAATTAACACTTGGTCTGGCTTACTGATTCAGTAAATATGGAATAAGTGCCTGTTACTTCTGACTGCTCGGAACCTGCAGGGAATGAGGGACATAATGTTGAACAAGATAAATCTGATTCTTGTCCTAGAGTCTAGAGGGCACATGAGTATCTAAGCAAGCCATTGCAGTGTGGTTTGATAAGTGTGGAGGCAGGACTGAGTTGGGAAGGGCACCAGATCCAGAAGCTCACTGATGTTAACTATTATGGCTGAGTATCAGCTGGATGAAGAGTGGAGGGAAGAGTGTTTGAAGGTTCATAGGTGAGATAGAGCATGCTGTGTTTGGGACACTTTAAGAAGGGTGGCATATCCAGAACATGACATGGGAGATGTGAGAATGGAGAGAGCTAAAGGAGCAGAGGAGGGAAGGACTGCTTAAGCTACATTAAGATTGCTGCACTTTATCATCAGATCATTGGGATCCTTTGCAGTGTTTAACTAACAAGGGGCATGATCAGATTTCTATGTCAGGAAGACCAGTCTGGCTACAGTGTGGAGAAAGATTCAAAGGGCTGTGGGAGTGGAGACAGAGAGACCTATGAAGAGGAGATGCAATGATCTGCATGATAGCTGAAGGTGGCCTTGCCTAGGGGGAGGCCATGGTTATGGGCATTATGGTCTAGGAGGCAGAATCTACTACCAGGCCTGGTGAGCGAAAAATGGGGAGGATTGATACATATAAGGAGAATATGGCAAGAAGGTGAAAGGAACAGCTGAAGTAAAGACAGAATTTGTTATTTGGGGAAAAGTTTTCTGTAAGAGAGATAAAAAGGAATTTTCCAAAGTAGCATGGTTCTTCATGACTTTTCAAACTGAAGAGGCATATTATCCCACTTCTTCACATATCCCCAAATGCTGATACTTTATTTCCCTGAGCAGAGAAACAGGGAAAAGAGCTTGGCTCATCCTGACATAAGTCTAATATGGGGAATCCTGTTTCCATCTAAGGACTAGACACTGCACCCAGGCTACTTTCCAACCAATTCTTACAATTTCCTTCTCTACACAGGCTGTCTCAATACTTCCACATTTCCCCTCCTGCCAATGGAAACTCGATACTTCTAGGTACTAAGTCAAATACTTTGGGATCACTTTTCACTCCTCTTTTCTTCATACATTCTCAACTCTTATTTGATATATCTTTAAAATGTATCTAGAATTAAACTACTTCACACCCATCTACTTCTACCAGATTCATCATCTCCTGTCTGGATTACAGTGACAGTCTTTTGACTGGTCTCAGTTTTACTTTTGCCTATCTTCCCCCACTCCAGCCAATTTTCAACACAATGGCCAGAAAAATTCCCATAAAATTTAAATTAGATCATGACACTCCTCTGATCAAACTTTCCAGTGGCGTCTTTATTACTGAAAGTAAAAGCCACAGTCCTTGCAATGATCTTTGAAGACATACAGGAACTTGACTCATGGCACTCCATCCCTCAACCTTCTGACTCCATCTCCTAACACTCTACATTTAAATGATTTCTCTCTAGCCGCACTAACCTCCTTCCCAGTCTTCACTTATTCAGGGGTGCCCCTGCCTCTGGGCCCTGTACTTGCTGTTCCTTCTACCCAGAATGCTCTGCCACAGAGATCTGCAGAATCTGTTTCCTCCTCAGTGCAGGTCTTTGCTCAAATATTATCCAATCCCGGAGGGAGTGGAGAGAGAGAGAGGACTAGAAGATGTATTTGAGCAAATCGGAACTCAAATATTATCCTCTTTGTGAGACCTTCTGGAGATATCCTGTCTAAATCTCATCTCCAATCCTCCCCCCCACTGCCCCATACGCCCTACCTCCTTTCCTGGCAATATTTTTCTCCTTACCACCATCTAAAATGCTACATGTTTGTCTTTTTATTGTCTGTCTTATCTACCCACTAAAATCTAAACTCTGTGAGGCCAGGGATTTTATTTCTAGTTTTGTTCACTACTCAGTGCCTAAACCAGTGTCTACCACATAGTGGGTCCCCCCAAAATATCTGTTGAATAAAGAACTGTCCCTTCTAACTAGACTATTCCCTTCTATTTTCTTTTCCTTCTTGACCCCACTAACACGAATTCTATCCAGTTGTAAAGGTTCCAAGAACATTTCCTTCATGAGGACCACCATGATTGCAGATACTAAAATTAATCTAGCCCTTCCAAACTCCCTGTCACTTTTTCTATATATATCTCTCTCAGGCACCCTGCACACCATACTATAGAAATGTGGGCACACTTAGGGGAGGGAGAATTTGAAGCATCCATTCCCCGTGTCAGTCCATCTCCTACCTTCCTCTAATGCCTTAAGTGGATGTGTTACTCACACATCACCTCAGCCTCCCAACCCACTATCAGAGGTCAGCAATAGTTGCTTCTATGGCTACTAGAGAGGTGGTGGTTTGAGTCCCATTCTCTTATTTTTTTTCTCTTATGAGCAGAGGACGGAAATGCTTTATGTCTTCCTAGCTCTGTGACTTGGGCAAGCTACATAAATTCTCTAAGATTCCGTTTAATCATCTGTTAAATGGTGATAAGTCATAACTACCTCACACAGCACCTGGCACAAGAGAGATGCTTCGTAAATAGTCACTGTACCAAAATGTAAACCATAACGATCTTAAGCCACTATGATGTGTGGTCAAGCCCTTGGAGAATGAAAGCAAGCCAAAGGTCTCGCCTGACAGTATGTGCAATAGAGTTCTCAGGCAGTCATCGTTCCGTGTGCCCTTCCTGATTTTTCTTTATGCCTTGTCTGTGATAGACAGCAACTGGCACAAAGGCAACATGTGAGGCTTATTCATTTGTAAATCAAATCACAGTGCTTAGGGCATGGATACTGCACTGTTTGTTGAATTGAATGGGGGCAAGAATGAAAATTTGCATTTTTGTTTGGCAGTTTTCAAAATAATTTTTGCATATATCAGTGATGTGCTGCAATACTGTATTCATACTGCAGAGATAAAGAAACTGAGCTGTAGAGGGGGAGGAGGAAAGATGGCAGAGGAATAGGGGACTCTATTTCAACTGGTCCCCGGAATTGAGCTAGATATCTACCAGACCACTCTGAGCACCCACGAAATCAGCCTGAGATGTAAGAAGATCTGGATCTCTACAAACAGAATATTGCAGACAGTTGGTTTTGAGGTATGAAGCGGGGAGCTGTGATTCCGCAGGCAGATATCGGAGGATAAACGGCAGCGGGAGGGAGCCTGGCTGTGGGGATCCTACACCAACGGTGAGCGACAGCCTCGCTCGCTGGGGATGGGGCACAGACTCACAGATGGGTAGCAGTGGGGAAAGGACTTTAGGGCAGCCCCCGGGTCGGAAACCCGGAGCAGCGGGGTCGCACCAGCGAACTGGGAGCGGCTGGTGGTTTTAGAAGCACAAAGGGCGGAGACTGTCCCGACATGGAGGCAGGACTGGGAGCGCTGCGGAGGGGCGCACAACCCAGGACGCTGCAGTTTATAGCAGCATGGACAGAAACGGAGACAGTGTGGCCTGGAGAGCTCACTGAAGAAGACCGCGGTCTCTCTGCTCTGAGGCAGAGGGTTGGAAACGGTCTCTTCTGCTCTGACTCTCAGACAGACACAGAAAGCTGCCAGGGAAAGCCACCAGAGAACAAAAGCCCCAAAAACTGATTACCGCTGAGCCCATCCCCCGCCACAGGGGGGCAGGGCAACTCTGCCCAAACAGAGTTGCCTGAGTAACAGCGGGGCAGGTCCCTCCCCAGAAGACAGGCTGGGAAAACAAGAGGCCAGCAACACTAAGGTCCCTAGAAAACAGGCGCATCTTGCTTGGGTTCTGCTCAATAATTTGGACTCTAAACATTCCCTCTACCACCCATCAACAGAATGACTAGGAGGAGGAATCCCCCAAATAGAAAAGACTCAGAGATTATGACTTATGCTGCAGATTTACAAATGGATGCAGATATAACCAAGATGTCGGAGATGGAATTCAGGCTAGCAATTGTGAAGACAATGGCTAGAATGGAGAAATCAATTATTGGCAACATAGAGTCTCTAAGGGCAGAAATGAAAGCTGAATTGGCAGAACTTAAAAATGCTATCAGTGAGATCCAATCCAATCTAGATAATTTAACAGCTCGGGTAAGTGAGACAGAAGAACGAATAAGCGACCTGGAAGACAATATAATAGATAAAAAGGGAA